ACTATTGATGGCTCAGTCGACAAACCTGGATTTTCAGAGCTATCTGGGATTCCAAGACTAGTACGCGTGAAAAACTGTGATCTAGAAGAGTTTTCTCGATGCGTGAAGCAATGGGTAAGGCACGGGCTCCTCAATAGTCAAACTAAAATTGAAAACTACATAAAGTATTTGATTAAAGTTCTTCAAGATACGGTCAAAGTTGTAGGACAGGTACCCGCAATAGGCAGAGGAAAAACAGCACCCTGATGGACTGATGACTGCAAAAAGCGACACACTGACTATAGAATAGCTAAAGCAACATCTGAAAACGTAGAACTAACACGAAAGGCGTTTAGAGCAACAGTGAAGGCAGCAAAACGCGAATTCTAGACAAATCAAGTCGAGGCAGCAGAGATAGAAGCTCAAGTGTTCAAACTTTTGCGATGGGTCAAACCTAAGGCGGCGAAGGAACCCACTCCCCTATAGGTATCACCCAACCAGTGGCTTTCAGATCCACTAGAACGGACGACTGCACTGCGGGACCCCCTCCTTGCAAGGTATGACGCGAGAAACGATATTGATGTATGGGAGGATGGTCAACCAGAGCGTATTCTATGGACCGGAGAGGTTTCACTGGAAGATGTCACAGCAGCAACTATTGGGAGTTGTCACGGTTTCAGTACAACATGCTTGGGCAATCTTGTAGGTACAATATATTAATAATAATTCTCTAGAGAGAGAATTCCTATAGCTAGAATATAAATATATACACTCTGAGGTACTCCTCTTCTATAAGGTTCTCCCTATGACTAGAATAATACGGACTCCTCGACAACACCCTAGAAGATTCTTGATACACCTGTTATCCTCATGAACCTTCAGTGTATTTCCGGAAGGTTCATTGAGAGTCTTCTAATCTCCTAGTATTCCGAGATCATTCCCGAAGATTCCCTTGCTTTCATTGCCTACGCTAGCCAGCGTAGACTACAGGAACCCTTAGGCTTAACAGTCGTTACAGGAGTAAAGAAACCGCCCCGGGTTTCGATAAGATTACCGTCTGACTTCTCAAGGTCTGCTGGAAGACGACAGGAACTTTATCAGGGATCTCTCCCAGGCGTGTTTGAACTTGGAATATTTTCGGACGCCTTTTATGGTTGCTGAAGTCGTGCTACCTCCAAAACTAGGCCGCGACCTTACCAGCTCAAAGGGATGGCGGCCAATATCACTTCTTTCCTGTTTAGGTAAGGGGCTTGAAAGACTAGTAGCTAAACGGATGTCCTGCCCCCAAATACAGCACAAAGCAGTACCTCCACAACTATTCGGCGCACCACCAGGACGCTCAGCAGTTGACTTAGTATCATATGTTATACATGATGCTGAAGCTGCAATGAGGTCTAACAAAGTTACAGCTATAGTAACGCTAGATATTCAAGGTGCCTTCGATGCAGTGCTACACAATCGGCTGCTTGCACGAATGCGAAGTCAGGGCTGGCCATCTTCCATCTGTTGCTGGGTCAAATCCTATCTGACACAGAGAAGAGTCTTGGTAAGATACAAGGAAGGTGTTACTGAGGAAAAGCTCTTTCAGTGCGGTGCCCCCAAGGATCACCACTCTAGCCACTTTTATTCATGCTATACATTTCCACTCTAATCGAAGAAGGCTCCGCCAACTGTAGATTTGGATATGCAGACGACATCGCCGTTGTTCGAGTCGGTAAAATCCTTGTGAAGCTGTGAAAGCTGCCCAGGAAGAAGTGAATAAGATGGTCCAACTGGCGGCGACACACATGATTAGATTCGACCCTTCGAAGTCCGAGCTACTGGTTACCGGAGGAGGACCGAAGAAGAAACTTAATACATCCAGCCTCTCGGTTCAAGTTGGTGAACAGTTTATTACACCATCTTAACAAATTAGATGGCTGGGAATATGGCTGGACGCACAACTGACATGTAAACAGCATGTTCAGGAATGGTGTAATAGGGCACAACAGCTATCAAATTTTTTACGTTGGGTCAACAAGGTCCAACGAGGCGCGGCCCCCGGACCATCAATACGCGCTGTAAACGCATGTGTATTCAGTACGGCTTTCTGTGGCGCCGAAGCTTGGTGGCCTGAACTCACCCGTATGACGACGATACGAGATATGAAGGTAAGTACGGGTGTTGGATGGCACCTCAAACTGCTGCATAGGACTATTTTAATCGCAGTTGGAGCTGCACTACCGGTGTGGCGAACTACACCGAATATAGTACTTCACAGAGAATCAGGCATCTTACCGGCAGAAATTATGCTACAGCAGAGACAGCTCCGAAGTGCAGCCAGAATCCGCCGACTCGATAGCTATCACCCATTGTCGAAAAGGGTAGCTGAGACACCCAAGGAGGCTATATAACGACTCAAACTCTGAGAGGGACAGAAAGAACGTGTATTTAGTGTCCCAGAGCGATACTTAGCACGCCTACAAAATGGGAACCTCAGCCTGCCGGCATCAGAAGGGCCTGGGCAGCTTTACCAACCAAAGACAACGATGGCTACTACCAGGGCCAAATGCGACAAGGAGGAAAAAGCGGAGCAGATCATGTTTTGGCCCAGGGATCTCCCCCCAGGAACACTCTGTGTTTACTCGCATGGGTCATCGACCGTCCCAGCATACTCAGCCTATGGCTACGTCATATATAGGGGCGGCTAACTTATAGCGAGCGGTGGAAATTTCCTTTCTGGAGCTGAGGTCTTTGATGCGGAAATCACCGGGGCGATACGAGGCTTAGAGGCAGCGTTAGAAATTGGAGGTAGCATAGATATCAGGGTACTCCTTGACAATCAAGAGGCGGTCAGAGCCCTTCAAAATGGTAGAACAAATTCTTCGCAAGTCGAGGTCGTGAATTTCTCGAAACTACGCAAGACTCGACCAGCGATAGAAGTCAACTGGGTTCCGGGACATAGCGGCATTCCAGAAAACGAAAAGGCCGATGCGATGGCAAAGGCAATCCTTGCGTCAAATAATCTGGATGGAAACGTACCGGGACTAGAGTGCATCTGGGATGAAACTCACGAAGTTTTGACTTTTGCAGCTCTCAGACGCCAAGTCAACATCCGGGTACAAAAACTTGCGGAAGAATGGTGGCTTAAAAACAGATCGAGTAGGTATGAAGATCTGGAACTATTGATAAGGAGAAAACGCCCTCCGGAGCTAGCTGTACCTCGATGGGCATATCACCGCCTCAACGCAGCAAGGACTGGGAATGGTGGCTTCGCCAGCTATCATAGACGATTCCAACACCAGAATGAAGAAATGCTTTGCAAATGTGGCCGAGAAAAGCGGCCATGGCATTTTGCAGAGTGTTGCCCGACTATCCAGAAATGGAGGACGCAAACGAAAGAATCACGTCCTACAATCAGGGATATGATAGGGCAAGAAGGATGGCAGAAATTCTGGCGTTTTTTAACTGTAACAAAGTGTTACAGCGGAGGGCAAGACTGAACACCTGTACGCGGTGTCCTCTACGAACCTGGGAGTGAAATATTCTTCCAGAGCCAAGTTCAGTCAAATTTCGCAATATCAAGGAAGTTGGCCCACGAGGCAAAAATTCAAATTACTCCACCATGTCAATCTTTCACTCCCAAAGAGTCCGATTCTCAACTAAGCTTCATCAAGTCTACAAGTACGACCTAGTACATCCTCGTTTCAATGACCACACCTCTCGTCGACTTTCTCTGGCCTCAGCCGGTCACCAAATACACGCCCACGCCGATATTTACACCCGACGGAGGAAGCAAAGCGTGGAGCACAAATCTGGGAGATAGCTCTTTGGGTAGGACGTGAGAGGGATTAGGACAAGTTCACAAGATGATGCAGAAGAGGGATACGTTTTCGACGGGCGTGGAATTTTGAATTTTGGCAAGAGTTTTACGAATTGAGCTTTGTGCGCGCCAAGACTTCGCTTGCGAGAGTGCAGCTGACACTATAAAAACAAGCAAACGATGGAAGGTGTTGTAGTCCGCCTCCTGGTGATGTTCTCTGGTATGGTTTGAGTAGCCTGGGCACCTACTCCACTTGGGAAGGAGACATCTCAGATTACATTTCGCGCGGAGAAAAGTTGATGGATGACGGAGGCATGTCTGGATAACTCAGGGTTTTTGAGACGTTCCCCTGGGTGGGTATTCACGGATGAGGGTTGACTTGGGGTGAAGAAAAAGCCACCATAACTTTGCAGTGGTACTTGCAAATGAAATCCGAGGCATGAGTGCTCTTCTCTTACGTTGAATCATCTATTCTGTACTTTTCTTTGATATTGTGTCATAGCTAGATAGCTGCATACGCAATTAAAATCTGATGCAAAAAAAAAAAAAAAAAAAAAAAAAAAAGTGTTACAGCAAGATTGAATCGTGAACAGGGGATATAAAGGTCAACTGTAATGCTTCTTGGGACCGTTCGGTGTGGTACGAGCATAAAGGTGTAGTGCAGGGCACTCGCACCTTAGAAATGGCGGTTTTATTTGCTTTAGTTTAAGGTTTCTACGAAACAATGATGTAGGTAGCGAAGAGCCGTATAGATCTGGACTACCCGTGCAATGCCTTCTGGGTGCTGGGGTAGTACCCGGTGATGATAAAAATATAGTCATCATCTGACCACCTTTCCTTCTGTCACTAATGCATGACTAATCCAAATACACTTCTTGATTAGTTTCAGGGTTATGTTTCTCCCACCTAGAAGGGGGCACTGTATGCGACAGTATTCCTACAGGTTTCCTGGACTGTTACATCTGACATAGTTATACATTTGGACGAGATGTTGGTTGAAAGATTTTATACTATGAATGGCCCTTTCTATGAGTTAGTCCGGCCGCATGGTTATCCTAGCATCTACAGGAGTATGGGGGTCCCGGTTGGCTTGGAGATTTAATTACAAACTAACTTCCAGCATTATCCACATTATATTATACTGATTTTAGGTCCAAAGATATGCTCTACATTTCCAAAGAGTCAAGGACATTACCTACTTTGCGTGGCGGTATAAAATTTAACCACCGATGGTACAATATGATTGCCTTGGTGCGAATGCTTCCCTATCCGCCACCGCGCTCCCGTCTCTAACTGTCCACCGCTCATCGACCCTCATGGCAGAAATTCGATGAAGGTTATCAATTAAGACGTAATGCTCAACATGATGATAATAACCGTTATCATCATCGGCTTTAGTAAAAATTAGTTTTTAAACACAGCAGTAAAAAATGTTAGTAGACTCACTGTAGGATAAGCTACGGATTCCACACAAATAGTAGACATCCGTTTGGTGGTCACTGTAAAATATCGTGTTTGACTGTCCGTCATTTAAGATTACATCTTCCATCCTACCCGATGGTCTCCCTAAAATGTAGCCTCTTTTTATATGACTATATGCAAGCCGAATGTCTTTTGCAAGATCGAGTGGCTTGATTATGCGGCCCAAACAATTAAAACTTTTAGATTTTGTGTCTACGTGGGCCGTCGTAAAGCTAGAAGAGGTTGCCACGAAGAAGCTGGCGCCTTGAAGGATCATGGCCAACTTAGAAAAGCGCATTATAAAAAATAGGTCTGCTTGAAGTGAAATTTGTCGAGTAATCTAGGAAAGAAGCTTGCGCTGGAAATATTTTTGTCGGCGCGAGGATTAACGTAGCTATATATGCATCTCTGCTACCTTTACACCAAAATTCTGTGCCATGTAAATTGGAAATATCCTACATATAGCCGCTTTAAGCTTCAAAATCGTTTTACTAGCATTCCTCGGCCCAAGTCTTTGGCGGCGCTTTGCATTTGTCATGATCTGAGGGATTTCCCTTGTAAATAGCTAATCTTTTTTGATTGAGCGAACGAGTTTGGATTAGATAATATCGCTGACTTCGTGGTAATTGATCCTCTGTCTCATCTCCAGCACTAGTATTTTTGATTAATTCGTGTGCTCTGGCCATGCCCTGCTCAATTGGATGTTGAGAGTATGAGTTGAATGACTCGTGATATTTTTATTCTACTAATTGAGTCTATGACTATCTAGCACATTGGGCTCCTCTCTGCACCAGGCCACACCCTGTACAGTGCTCCTATCCTCTTTTGTTACTTGAAAGATCATTGATACATTGCCCGTGATGAATAGCCATTCAGCTCAGTGTTTACCCGTAGAATTCGGCCACCTTTTCCACGGAACCTTCTACCCAAAAAAAATAAAAATGGTAGCAATGGAAACTGCGTGCACGGGAAAAAGTCTCAAAAATACTGTTGCCCCGGCCAGGCGAGGCCTAGACACCGGGACCACATGAGGTGCGCATACTCATCTTCATCTAACTTCTTTGTAACAGTCGAGGCCGACTTGATCCAATCCACCATCTCCGTATCGGGTGCTGGGTACGCTCCGGAAACTCGTCAGATGGCTCCCCCTCCACGATCATGGGTTGGTGATGAGTAGGGCTCCAACCCTACCATCTGATCAGATCGTAGTTAGCTTCATGGTAATGTTGATAGGGGAATGTGTTGAGAGATGAAGACGATACAGACCGCACAAGCGATTGGGAATCCTCGTCGAAGTGAGGACTTTGTTACTCAATCTCGGCTCTGCTGACTCTACAGTGAGAGCTGGAGGTTCGTAGGGGACACCACTGACAGGTGTTGAGAATAGTCCCCCACCCTACCATCTGATGGTGGTTAGCTTCATGATAATGCTGATAGGGAGATGTGTTGAGAGATGAATACGATACAGACGGCGAAAGTGTTGTGCTGGTGATGGCCAGGATTACAAAGCACAGGGGTAATTATCACTGAGGATGAAGGTAGAACTTTCCAGGTGGCTCCATGATGAGAAGAAGAGTAATGGAACACTGTACAGAAAGTGTTTCTAGATTGTACTGCCAGATGGAGGAGACTAGAATATTCCGCAATACTGTTTTGGGTAAATAAGGCGAGAGTCTAGCTACTTCAGATGTGTATATAACTAGCGCTTTCTACCTCTAAAATCCTCGTAGTCGTGAATATCCATTGAAACAGCAGTTCACATTGATTCATCGATAATCATCTGTAAACCTTCTGCCAATCAACCTCTGCAAGCTCTTACCTCTACAACAGAAAGCGATTGGGAATCCTCATCGAAGTGAGGATATTGATACTCAATCTCGGCCCTGCATACTTTACAAAAAAAGCTGGAGGTTCGTAGGGGACACCACTGATAGGCGTTGAGAATTGTCCCCCTCGAGATAGGAGTTGGCTGGTTCAAATCCGGCAAAACACAACCTCATTTCTCGCGGCGCTGGTATGCATGGATGACGAAGGCATGCTTGGATAATCAAAGGTTTTTAAATTCCCTTTGGTGGGTACTAACGGAGGAGGGTCGACTGTTTGTGTAAGCATACATACCTCATAGTGGTATTTGCAAATGAAATACAGAGTATGAGTGTCTCCAACGTCAAAAGAGCCATCCTACATATAAATATAGCAGCGGTCATGTGTCATAGCTAGATAGCTGAATACCCATTAAATGATTTAAAAAAAAGCATGTGCTGGGGATAGACAATCTGCGGTTCTAGGTGCATGTTACTGGCACTAATCAGAACTAACAGCGCCCAGTCGTAAGAACTGAAGCATTTGCCAGCCAAACTTCCTATTCTTAGCCACCAGCAATTTCAACACGAAAACTGACCTGCCGATATTTCTAGAGTGCACATATCACCGACTTCAATCATATTTACCCCAAACGCGAAGCGCAAACAAAGTTTTTCACTTGAAATTTCCCAAAACCCCAAGTCCCTCATAGTCTCAGATCCAGAAAGGACCATAATAAATTCTTATCTTTCCTGAGACCCCCTCCCCTGCTCATCTCATATTGCGACCATTTCCATTTGGAGAAGCAGCTCGGAATTCAGACTCTGGGTTATAACTCGTGTAATCACGTTGCAGTCGATCAAGCAGAAGCAACAAGCAAACCCCGAAGATTGGAGGATACTCTTCTTGGCTGGGTGAAAGGCACAGGAGATGGTGAACGAGACTCTAATGAGGGAATAAATGGAGACCATAACTGGGGAGGTAATGTTGGGTAGATAGATGAGGCCCATTATGATAAGATGGCTGGATGGGGTGGGAGCTTTCGAGTCGTGGCACTACAGAGACTGATTGGAGGCAGAACCTTGAAGATTTCGGACAAGTCAGTGCTCGGATGTTCGCTGGCCAAATATGAGGAAATAGCCCTCTGACGTGCCAAAACCGCCTTTACACATATAGAGGCTCATGGAAAAAAAAACACGGAGACCTGGCAAGATGCGACTCACGGGTAAAGATTGAGTCAGTAGAAGGCTCATGTGTCAATGTGAGGTAGTATTTGTCAGCCCGGCTATTCTCGAGCTCCAATGGCCATGGCATCATGGAAGCTCCTGCCAGTCTAGCAGAAAACTATACAAGTAAGGGTGAGCAGCATTGGCCTACTTAGCATGGTGTTGAGTATTTCACTAAACAAGGGTGCATATAAAGGTAGAGTCAGGACCCAACCAGCCTGGCGATTGTAAATATTGGTGGCTTGTTTCTCTTCTAAACATCGCACATGAGTGATTATAATCGTCGAGGACTAGAATATAATTGCGCTTGATTATCGGCCAACCTGGGTTATCGTACACTATAGACGGTCAGCCGTGATACGCCAATCCAAGGTAGCGGTGATTCTAACCCTCTTCTATTGAGTTTAGGAAGTAAAACTTATAGTTATCGGCGTTGGGATACCGAAACATGATAAATCTGGTATCTTCTGGATCTCGCAATGCACTGTTGAGTTTGTCATTTAGTGGTCTGAATATTGCACTATCTGTTATCTTTGTTGTTGCCAGAATTTGTCGTGCCTGTAAGATTTCGCGCTGACTAATAAAGCGTTCGTCACAAACAAATCCTTGAATCTCCCCATAATCATGACTCTTCGCATAGGCAGCCAGAGTTGTCACGCAGACGCTTGCAACATGAATGATAGTGGCTATGCTAGAGAAACGCATGATTCTCAATTAGTCTCATGCAAAATCTCTTGCTTGGTGGGAAATGTAAACTCACTATCTACGCAGCAACTGCCGCTACAGACCTTTATATACCCAGCTCAAAGATCTTTTTGCCGGAATGTACTGCCAATTATCCTGGGTGGCTCCCTGATGCAAATGGGTGGAGCTACTTCATCTATCCACTACCGCCCATTCCTTCGTGTTGTCTTTGCTCGTTATCAACGGCAAAATTGCCAAGGGACTTTTTTGGACAAACGTCAAGAGGCTGAGACCCCAGTAGATCTATAGGGAACTTGTCCAAGGGGAGTTAGGATGCTATGAGTACAGAAGATGTGATAGCGGCTAGTACGGTAGCGGTGAGGTTCTGGTGAGGAGGACAAGAACTGAACATCAGTCCTTGGTTCCCTCTGCAAACCGGAGGCTAGAATGTTATCCTGGAGCCAAGCCAAGTCAAATTTCGCAATTTGGAATAAGATGACCCATGTGGCAATTATTTAATGCTCCATACTAGATCAAATTTCCGCTCTCATCAAGGTCAATTCCACTCAGAGCCTCATCAAACCTGCAAGCACGACCTAATGCACTCTAATCTCTATCCCCACCCATCTCGTCTAGGTACGATTTATTTTACAGTCCCATCTGAGTCCAAGACTACAGAGGACTTCTAGGGTCTATGTGATAGAGTCTAGCTAAATTGGAGTATTTTTTATAATCAATTCAATCTGTGTTCTCATAGACAGTGAGGTTAATTCCCTTAATCTTGGATTATCTAAGCATGTCGTTGTCATCCATGCAAACCAGCGCCACGAGAATAATAGATGAATTTTGCCGGATTCAAACCAGCCATCACCTGCCTCCAGTGTGTGACGGAAACCGAGTTGGTGATGAATAAATCGATTTATTAAACTAGATGAGGAGAGAAGAGAACTCTAGCTACTTCTGATGGATATTTGTAAGAGTTGATCATCCTCGTAAATCTGTAGAATAGCGACTTGTCCTCAGGCACAATACTTTATACCCAGCCACGAATTTCCAGGTGTCACTAATTTTACGCTGGTGATGGCTAGGATTAAAATGCACAAGGGTAATGATCAATGAGGGTGAGGGAAAAACTTTCCAAGTGGCTCCATGATGAGTAGAAGAACAATGGAGCACTGTATGTAAGGTGTTTCTTGATAACACTACCAGATGGAGGAGACTAGAATATACCGCAATACTGTTTTGGGTAAATTAGGCGAGAGTCTAGCTACCTCAGATGTGTATATAACGAGCGCTTTCTATAACTACTTTTGAGCCGATTGTTTTGTGGCACGTGATTGTATTATCGTGCTTCTATAATTCTATAGTAGTCTAGCTTTATTCCAGATCAGTTCAACTGTGACTGGAATATTCTAGTAATTGGTAGCAAGACTGGGAACTACTATGACTGGAATATACGAGAAGCAGATAGCAGCCAAGAACGAGTATTCTAGAGATCTTCATAAATATATACATAGTTGAAGTAATACTCTGATAGTTAGCCATAGATAAAATTATAGACTACCTTTGTATATCTGATTGCTCCAGAATCGACACTCGAACTGTGACATATAATTTTCTCTATCACTTAGACATTCAGTACCACAGTCAAACTCAGCCAAACTCAGTCAATCGCAGTCAGTCACAGTTAAAATCAGTCAAACTCTGTGAATCGCAAATATTCAGAAAAGCAGGACGGCAACCATGGAAGAGAAAACCGAGGGAAGTTTTCAGATGGTGCCTATCGAGGAATTCCGAGAGCTACAGCGTCAATTCAAAAAACTGCTCGTGAGGCAGTCTTACACAACTGTATCAAGCAGAGATTTTAAGATTGAAAAGGCGTTACGGGCTAGGCCCGCCTGGGTTCTGGCTGGGCTGTTGAAGGCTATAGGGCCCATCCTTATCTTGAGGGCTCAAGCGAGTTTGTAAATCTTCTCACTATGTGGAAGTATTATCAGGTCACGTGTAAAGGGCAAGGGGATCTGGAACAGGCATTGTAGTTATAAAGAGCCATAGCTTCCCGCTCGTAATTTCCTCATAGAAAATATAAACATTTAATTGTGGCATTGCTTTCGTGCATTGGCCGAAAGTCCTAGCCCGTCACAAAAGGGCCTCTTTCAAGAGATAAAACGAACCTAAAGCCAACAAAGCTTCCAGAATTTTTTGGGAACAAAACGGAATACCCAGCATGGCGTGCGGCTGTATCAGACACTTTTCGCATGGATCGGAATTTGTTTGGATATGACAATTCTCGTGCTGTTTTAATGATTTTCAACGCGTTGAAGGGCACGGCAAGGACAAAGGCAAGCCCTTTCTACGAAGCCGGTGGAGTTCAGAACACCAGGGATCCTGAAGATTTCATTGAATATCTTGACAGACTTTTTCTTCATCCAATAAGGACTTCACGGGCTAAAATTGAGCGTCAACCAATGAAAATGTAACGGCTCGTGAGCCGATAATTGTCCTATATCACGTGATGTTAATCACGTGCCTCAACGATTCTGTGAAAGGCGAAACTTCACTCTAGTTTATTCTGAACATGACTAGAGGATTCTAGCAACTGGCATTGAGACTGTGAACTGGTATCAGGGGAACATAACAGAGGCTTGTATCAGACAGGAATGAATATTCTAGATAGCTTAATAGGTGTATAAATAGTTGAGTTAGGACACACATATTGTGGTATAGAAAATAATAAACAACCTTCGCATATTTGATCGCTCCAGAATCTATACCTCGAACTGTGACAGAAAATTGGGGACAAACAATGCTGGTCTGACTTTTTTGCATTGTGGTCGAACAAATTGACTGAGGCTAGAGAAGATTTTTGGGCAGATGATAGCAAAATCTCCCTGCTGCAAAACGCATTTTATAAAAAGTTGACCATGGCATTAGCTTCAAGTCACCTGTTTCCCAATGACAATTCCACCGGATAGCTGAATATAGTGAACAGAGTTGCACGGCAGTTTGAAACAGTCGAGAGTCGATTCCATGCCAAAATACAACTCGTGCTTAGATTGAGTTCCTGAACAATTAGGACAGACTCAGTAACAGAGGCTTGTTTGATGGGAATTGCGTAGTAATACTGTTCGAGACAGAGCTTAGGGCTGTCCTATTATCTAATGTACACATATACTGTCAAGGTACAAGACAGCAATCATATTATTAGAATATTGAGAAAGCATAGTCACGAGAGTAAGATAATACGCATGGTGATATGTGAAGAATGCATGATGTGGTACTAGAAGTATAGAGTGATAAAGACGTGTTATGTACTAAGGATGTGGTAACCTTTCACTTAACCACCTATCCAGCATTTCCTGACACGCCCGCATCCTGCAATATCATAAATCCTCATTAACTTCCACAATCTTTAAAAAGTGTGACCTCTACATTTCTTCTTAAAGGGTTCAATAGTCCTTCAGAAAAATGAAACTGAATTGTGGACCAAGAATACTCTTATCCTGGTCCCATCAAAACCTGCCGTGTGAACTTCTGTTGTATGAATATCACCCCTACAATTCGTTCAAAGTTTAACAAGATAAGCCTAGCTCGCACGATAACTTTACAAACTGGTCCCTGGGTGACTGTTTTGTTAATATATCTGCAATCTGTTCAGTACCTGGTGTAAATGTGACTATTAGCCTGATTTTCATCACCATCTTATCTCGTATGTAGAAGTGATGTGTTTAGCCCTTGGATGAGATTTGGTGGTTTTGGCAAGCTCTATTGCAGCCCGATTGTCTGGATATAGAAGCGAAAATTTCACTATTTTGACGTTTATGTCATGAGAAATTTTCCCCATCCAGCCGATTTGTTTGGCTCCTTCACTAGCAGACATGATCTCTACTTCCATTGTGGTCTGAGATGTGCTTTTCTGACGGTTAGCGGACCAAGTTCCTGCGCCCCCATTCCATATGATTGTTTGCCCTTGGAAGGATTCCTTATCATTTTCGGTCCCCCATGTTGCATCTGTCCATGCTGCCCACATATTTGCTGTATCGGCAGATCTGTATTTAATCGCGAGCGACCTTGTACCGTTGAGGTATCTGAGTAGACGCTTTGCCATACTTACATGGTTTGAATCGGGGTCAGACATAGATCGTGCAAGCTGCCCTATGGCATAAGATATGTCTAGCCTTGTACCATTAGAAATATATAGGACAGATCCAACAATTTGTCAATAGAGGCAGATGTCATCATCTTTGAGCGTTTGATGGATATCGTCTTTAGTAGATGGGCTTATGACCGTTCCTGCTGGAAGTGGGAGATTCTTAGGTATACTTTTCTCCATTCCAAGTCGCTGAATAAGTTTTGTTATATAGGCAGTTGTCACGGTTTCATTACAAAAATGCATGAGCGATCTTGTCAGACCAGTTATGAGCCCGGTTAAACTCTTCTGCGCATAGAAAAGTGGTATCGGTCTATCAATCTTGCAAAGTTAATTGTCCTGTTGCGACAGTCTTACTTATTTTTATCAAATTTTTCATATTGTTTCGGGTCAATTATTACCGGGGTTTTTTTTTCACCAACCATTTTTTACTATTAAATTTACAGTTCAGATCCTTCAACAAAAATGGCTGAATGAAGCGGCTCTTCCAAAATCATGCTGAATGGTCCATCTAATTGGGATCAATGGATATCAACGATTCAGAAATTTGCTCTAACACAAAGTATTTGTGCTCAAATTGACCCTTCCAGCATATCACGAGTACCATGTCTCAAATATCCGGAGGAACCATTGATAACAGTAGTTAAACCAACTGCAAGATTAATTACAGATCTTGCCATTGATGAACTAAGGATATATGAGTTCCATTACAATCGCTATCGTACGGACCTTCAGGCCTACAAGGATCAACAAAGGTCACTTGCATTTATCAAAGAATTCATAATAAAAACGGTTGGTAATTACTACTTGCCTATTTCCGATAAACATGATGTTGTGTCAGGAACTGAGGACAGAGGTTACTGGGATACAA